AAGCTTAGGGAGTATAAGGGAATAATGGGGATTGCTAGGTTACCTACCCCCCTTGGACCACCTACCCTAAACCCTAAACCCCAAACTCCGAACCCTATGGGTCTATGAGATGCTCGGACGGACGCAGCAAGAAGGACATTCATTGCAGCTTCTCAAGCGCTCTTTGCCGAGGAAAATATTGAGCTTAGTATGGGCAATTCTCTTTCCATAGGGGTGTTATCAAGGTTTAGGGTTTAGAGGGTTTGGGTTGCTTCAAATAAGGCATGCTAGAAGCTGAAAGGTCTTCAGGGTGGAACCTTACAGCCGAAACCCTAAACCCTAAGAGGTGGCTAAACTGCCCTCAACTAGACTCAACTAGCATCGAGGGGGTTTCTCTCACAACCTACAAGACCCTAAACCCTAAACCCTAAACCCCTCAAAACCTACAAGTAGATGGCTAAACCCAACATCTCTTGGGTACTTGCATCCTAAAGGCTCTAGTGTTTAGAATGGGGTAATATTAGGGTTACATTGGGGATATGTTGGGATAATGGAAAAGACAATGGAAACGACTTTTTAGGGTTTAGGGTTTAGGGATTGAAGGTTTAGGGTTTTATTTCGGGCTTTGGGGTTTTGGGGTTTAGGGTTGCGGGGGTCTGGCGTTTTAGGGGTTGGGGGTAGGAACTAACTCTAGCAACAACTACCTGCTCAGTCCACAGGGAATCTAGGTTTTTGGCGTCAAATTGACGTTTCGGGTTTTGGAGCTTGAGGTTTTGGATTTAGGCCCTTAACCCTAAACCCCGGGCTAAATCCTAAACCCTAAACTGTTAGGGTTCAGGATTTAGGGCTTGGGGTTTAGGGTTGAGGATTTAGGATTCGAGGTTTAGGCTTTCGGGAGTTTAGGGTTACAGTATTAGGATGTAGGGTTTGGGGTTAAGGATCTCAGTTTTAAGCCTCCAGACTTAAGGTAAAGGGTTTAGGATTTAGGGGTTTAGGAGGAAGGGCCAGGTAAGTATCAATATCAGTTTGAGGCCAGTTTGAAGTACCCTACACCATGATTATACCAGGAATCTAGGACATTGGTGGTTGTTGACACGTTTACATAGCAACAGGCAGTTTTTTTTGAGAACAGTCAAATATGGTTCCTAGACTAGGTTCCCCAGTAACCCATTAAGAATAAGGGTACCCTTTTTCCCACTATTCAGCTTTAGTAAGGAGACCCCCCTAAACCCTAAACCCTAAACACAAAAAAAAAGGGCAAAAGGGTACTACTGGGCTATCTAGTTAGAAGGCCCTGAATCCCAGGGTTGACGGTCCACAGCTTAGGTCTAGGCCCAGTGAAAAGGCATGACCAGAAACAGGTCCTAAGACAACATTGCTGCTAGCTACCATCTGCATCACTTTCTCTGCTGCAGATTTAGTGTAGTTCCAAACATTGGGATCGCAGAGTAGTATGGAACGCAGGATTATTTGAACTTAAATATGCGATTCGACCCTTCAGCCCGTGCAAAAGATGCCTTCTCGTGCAATTTGCGCACGTCCTGCACTGCCTTGGTCAGCTGTCAGTTACGAAAGAGGAGCCTTCAAATGTTGAGGCTCAGAGTTTGAGGATCAGAGGGTACCTGCAGCTCATTTACCTCGGGTTTAGGGTTTAGGGTTCGCAGTGTACTGGGCTCATACAAGCTGGTTAACGGGAACAACTTGTAGACTGTGGACATCAAGATGGCCATCGGAAAGTACGGTAGTGTAGGGCCTAAAGCAGCATAAAGCCTCAACAAAGGAAAGGTACCAAGCATTAGGTACAAGACGCTGCGCTATGGGTACACAAGCTACTCTAGCTATGATGCAATCAACCCAACGCTGGAAGCTCCCTGAAAATCATTTGTAGTTTCTGAGACTATGATTTCTGCCAAGGATCTATGGGACTTAGAGAGTGTAGTGAGGACAGGGCTGGCTGAGCCATTTTGGCAGCATGCTCTTTCCGAGTGACGTCAGATGGGGACATTGTTCGGGCTAACTCTGAAGGATTCAAAGTTAAGCTTAGAGCTTGGGGCTTGGGACCATAATCTAATTCAAGTTCTTTAGCAGCAATTCAGTGAAAGGGACCTGCAGACTTTGTTTCCAAACAATGGTGCCTAGGTCCCTAACTAAGCCCTAAACTCTTAAAACAATCTTACAGTGATGAGCATTGGGCCAGCAAAAGGCACGGCAAATTCATTCAGGAATGCTTAGAGTAACCAATGTACCCATACACCCATAAAAAGTGGTCTTGCACCTATTGGTTTAATATCTTGATCTTGCTTGGAAGGGTCTACGCTACTCTAGGTATACTCTATATACAACTGGTACGTACTAGGATCACGAATATACAGGTATTTTCTTGCACTACTGGGTTCTGCACTCCCTGCATAAAATCTTTAGAGACTCACATTTGGGAAGCACACAGGTCCGGAATGCCTAGCTGTAGTCATGAGAAATTCTAAGCACTTGTAAGGCCGCGAGATCCTTGAAGCGTGGTTAAAAGCATGTGGTAACGATAGTTACTGAGCAGCTACAAAGTACAGATGAACCCTATATGAACCCTTTAAGGGGGCCAACCATAACTTCCCTTTTTTAGGCGTTTTGAATGCTTTAGTTGCAGCTTATAGGGTTGAGGGTTCAGGGTGCCCGTAAATAACTCCTAAACCTCTTTGCCCCAGATCTAAAACTCGCCGCTCCAAGCCCAACACACAACATGTAAACACCCAAACGTTCTAAATCCAACATTTGACCGAGAGCACGCACACGTGCGATGCCACCGCCGGCTGCGCAAAGGCAACGGCGACCTCCAGAAAGCTACAAATCTGCGAAAGGCTTCCAAAATCCTTTTAGAGGAACCTACGTGAAATTGTCGATGTTCAAAAGCATTTCCCTTAGTTGAAATAATTTCTCAAACTGAGGGGGGCCTCGAGCAACCCCAGCGATTTGTGGCAGTTTCCTAGCTAGCGGGACCCAATGCGGACCCCAATATACTATAGTCCTTATTATAAGGGCCCCAAAAACGGTATCCAAAATTTTGGGAAACCCTAGACCCTAAACCCTAAACCCTGGACCCTGAACCCTATATATATATATATATACATTTACGTGACATTTGCGGGGTGCCCTTATTATGCCCCACTCTTAACTTTGGTCAGCTAGGAATGAACGGAAAAGATAATGGAAACTACTTTGATGGGTTTAGGGTTCAGGGTTTGGGATTTAGTGTTTAGGGTGGGAATGAAGGAGTTGAAAAGAACATGGAAACTACTATAATGGGTGACATAGGGACTACTATAAGGATCCATTCCTTTATTCAAGGAGTTAAGGCTTATGGCTCATGTGCCCCAGATATGCCTCGGACCCCGCCCCTCCTCTGAAGAAACTTTGGTCCTCAATTTCTGCTTCAGGTTTCCAGCCATTTACAGTCCCCCTTCAGTAGATAGAATATGGTTTTGGGCCTTTAAAAGTAATAAGACCCTCTTAAACTCCATAGTCTATCTACTTAAGGGGGACTATAGATCATACTATTGAGGACCTACTTGGCAGGTCAGGAGGACTTGGAAAGTAGGTTGGTAACCGTTATAACCCATATGGTAACCTAGTGACCCCCTTCTTCACCTACTTACCTGACCATGCAAGCAGGCACCATCATTCAGATACCTAGACGCTTGAAGTTTTCGCGTGATGACAGGATTCCTGCTGCCGTTGCAATCTCTTGGGAGTAAGGTATACGCGGCCCAAAGTAGGCAGTACGGTCGATACCAAAACAACCTCCGGGATGACTAGGCGTAACCAAAACCTGGGAAATGATGGGAATTTCGTATGATAAAGTCATGCAGGCAGGGTTTTGTGGTATCAGCAGTATTGAAGGACCTTGAAGCAAGAGTAAGAATTATCAATAAATTCCAATCTTTGGAGCCCTACAGACGATGTTGCAACATATGCTTACGAACATGCTCTACTGTGGAGGTCTAAATTAGACAGAGTTCTATAGGGTTATATGAACGGATGAACGGGGTTATGTAGGGCTATACAGGGTTCCGTAGGCTGCTATAAGGTTATATATGATCTTGAGATTGACTTGAGGTCTCCTTGGTCTCATCCCTGTAATACGCTGGATACTGAAAATCCTGCATGGCCCTATGTACCTCATACCTCAGGAATAATGGTATTATGGTACCTTATACCTTAGGAATAATGGTATTATGGTATATTAAGGCCATGCAGGATTTTTAGCATCAACAGTACATGCGAACTTCCACCATGTCCGACCTGGATGGCCGCAGCTGCCTTTCCGGTGACATTGGCTTTGCAAACTCTATCTCAATCCGGGTTGCTGTTAAGGAACTTAATCTAAGTTACTATATTGAGGAAACAAATACTAATTATAATATATACACATTATGGTAACTTAATGTAATACTAACTACTATATATATATATACCCATTATGGGAACTTAATTTAAATTCCTTAGCAGCAACCCATCCATGGCGTGGCTTTCCGCGCCCCTGGCCAGCTTTCAGACTCTTCCGGGCTGGTGCTCCGTCTCCGCATAGGCCGCGCGCCAGATTTAGGGTTTAGGGTTTAGGGTTTGGGGCCTAAACCCTAAACCCTAAAGGTTAAAAAGTCCTGAACTTCAAATTCAATACAATCCTACATTCGACGTTAGGGTTTAGGGTTTAGGGTGGTCCTTCTCTGTGCCGCTCAAACGCGTCATGGCGTGGTGTGTCAGCTGCTGCAGCTCCTATACCAGGGCACAAGAGATGGTCTGGCCTATACGGAAGTTTCCCTAAATTACTGTTCCCAAAATGGGGGAAACTTATATAGGGCCCCGTATTATAATCGGAACCTAAATATAGGACCCCGTATTGACAGTAATTTAGGACAATCCCCATACTGTAAGTATACAAGGAATCTAGACTGATGATGCTGATGCTTATTGCCTATAGGCCCCCACAACATCAACCTGTAACAAATGTCCATTTCATGTTCCATGTTCTTCTTTGACTCTCCTTTATTGGGGAATAACTCTAAACCTTACACCCTGAACGGGCCCATAATGTTGGTGATTGTTTAAAACAATATATGCCGCATTAAGGGGTCCATAATGTTGGTGATGCTTTAAGACAATATTTTGACAGATGCTTCCAAACATACGCTGTGCCTCCCGGTCTAGGTTGTAGCAACGGCTTGGGCTTTATAGGGTCTAGGTAAGTAGGAACCGGAACCCTCCAACTACACAATCCTGGCCGAAAACGCTCTCTGTTCAAGGCCGAAATTTCTGTAAATCAAGGCTTTGCACAAGGTAGGTGTATCAGGCAACACTCTTTGGACATACTGAACCCTAAACCCTAAACCCTAAAACCCTAAACTCGTTGGACATACTCAAAACTAGAACGGACTGTAGGAGATTGCCTGGCTGTAAGATGGGCTTTCCCCTGGGGCTCCATGTCTATAA